TAGATATGTGGGGGCATGTTAGAACGAGCCGTTTTAGGTAGGTGTGGCTGACTCTTAACTTTTATAAAGAATATCTCTTTGGATTTGAGACTTTAGTCTTTGCAACTTTACAGATCTTCTTTATGCACCAAGAGCTTGTAACACTCCAAAGAGAAAGGAAAAATTGAAATCGCATCATATGACCCCTTGACAGCAAGGAGTGCAATGTGCACAATACTCTTTAAATTAAACTGCAGATCACATGTTATGAGAAAATATTTTTAGTGAGAACAATGATCAATGATGCACATTTACTTCGATATTATGGCAAACTGCTGGATTTGGTGGTCGAACGGTCCATTGTCCGATTTAAATAGGTCCAGTGATAATAGCTTACTGTACAACTCGGCGCTGTTTTGGAATTGTGCTCTCGCACTAATTTGCCCTGTTTAGTAAAACTGGCCCTAAATTTAATAATGTCATGTGGTGTATCCAAGTAAAAAGTAATACAATTTTTCAGAAAATTTTTGCAAGACATGAAGTGCATTTTACAAATATCAATTATTAATTCATTAATAATATTACATTTTATTCTTATGAATTTCATTATGCGAGTTTACATTTTTTTATTTTTTTTTTTATCAATAAATCTGAACCAAAAATACAAGCTTTCTGTCATTGCCCCAGTTGTTTATTATATTCACAATGGCTTTCAAAGTTTGTTATTCCAGTGTTGGTCACATCAACATCATCTTAAAATTGCCTCGCTCCACCTATATTCATCAGAGAGCAGAATCGTTTAATGTTTAATGACATTTTTTTTCATCAACTCTCCAGCACGTCGCTTGGGTGTTTTCATCACATTAGGTGCTCCAGAATACTGGCCTAATTAATTTTGCAAGGCGGCTATGCTCATTTGAGTGCTATCACTGTTGGTTATCCTTTGCATTTTGCATTTGTCAGCCACTGTTAATAAGTCTGTGGTTGGTCTGCAGTGAAGCATGGGTACAAATGGCCACCTCAGCCCAAACATTTGATTCATAATTTTGACTTTTGCTCCACGTTTAATCACTCGACAACATTCTCTCAATGCTAAATCACCCAAATAAGTTTTGGGCCTCAGTACTATATGGGTATTATGGCTGAGCCTTTGCTAGCAGGTGGTGTGTGAATGTGTATCCTGCTGGTAGCTCCAGCTGTTATGGTAGTGCCAGCTGCACTCGAGCGCTGCACTTGACTGTAGGTGTGCGGCAAGTGTGATCTCAGGAGGGTTTGATCTTGTTCATCTCTCTCACTCTCTATCTCGTCCTCCACAGCAGATGCCCCCTTCAGAAGCATTTACATATAAATATATGGGTTTCTGCTTTTCATTTACATGGAATTGACTGTTTAGTCATTGCGATAGTGAAGGCCTGGATGACTTTCAAGAAACCCCCTTCCCTCATCAATTTTTTTTTTAGTTTTGGATGAAATCCCTCTCATATGGCTATGAATGGATGGATTAGAGCGATTACTTTAATTACAGTAATGGAGTTGATGTGTCAGTGATTGTATTAGAAATGACCCCTGGAAGCCACTAGAAAGGGGACGGATGGCGGTAAAAAGGGGGTGCTGTGTGTTTGGGTAAACACAGATGACCATCTTTCCACAGATTATGATTGGGGAAGGGATCCTGTACTGCTGCTTGGCCAGAAGAAACATCGCCATCAAAACAGAGGCTAACATAAACGCCGCCGGCTGCAATTTCAACTCTTACATCCGACGAGCTGTGAGATTTGTGGGTGGGTGTACATATTTCTGCTCTTTGTGACTCTATAAAAAGCAATATAGCTTGTATAAATATTATTCGGAATACTCTTTTGATCTTGACTCATTCTGTCTGTTTTATAGTCTTGTACTATATCGAGTTTGCTATTAATAATGAAAGCTCCATCTATTTTATCGCAAGCTTATGAAGTCTTCTTGCTGCTTATGAAATGTTGTATTTGCTTTATATGACTGAGGAAAAAGCTCTGTGCGTATACTTTTGTTTCATTTTCAGGGGTCCATGTGTTTGGCCTGTGCATCACCGCACTCATCACAGATATTATCCAGCTGGCCACAGGATACCACGCCCCCTACTTCCTCACTGTGTGCAAGCCCAACTACACCAGCCTCAACACTTCCTGTGATGAAAACTCTTTCATTGTGGACGACATCTGCTCTGGGCCTGATCCAGCAGCAATCAACTCTGGCAGGTCAGAGAGCGGTATCTGTGTCAGATTGTAGTTCGTCAACATGCATGATCATGCCCAAAAATGGTCTAAATTTGGACCAAGCATTACATACTATTTTATCATTGTGACTATTAAATCAATGTGAAATGGTGTTGTGATGTTGTGAACAAGAAAAAATGTAGGGCAGGATATAATTTTACCCATTGGGAATTGGGGGCATTTTTATCTGAGGAGCAAAGAGAAAACTGACAACACACCGACAGACAAGACAGAGCATGTCATTTTTCGTGTGAAACAAAGTCTCAGCTTTCAAATTTTGTCGTTTTTTAAGAGATTCAAAAAAAATATACCGTTTTGGCTCTTTAATGTGTAGTGACAGACCACAGCGCCTCAGTTCAAGCGACACGTGAAGCGATCATCTCATCTCTGTACTAGTTATATCATGAAATAAACATGAATGAACATTAGAACTGTAACATGTAAGCCAGGACAAGGAGGAGCGAGAATCCAAATGCAAGTACAGGGGTTTATTAAACACAAAAAAAAAAAATAATCCAATCCAAAACCAGGGTACAATCCACATAGAGGAGTCAGGAACATAATCCACATGGAGAAGGCGAAAGTGTAAACCAGAAACACACGTACAGGAAGCAACAACCGACAAACCACAACTGAAGCACAGACCTTATATACATACAGATTTAACAAGCTAATGACGCACAGGTGGAAGTAATCACACAACAATAAGTCCAGGCAAAGGTTTATGGGAAATGTAGTGTGTGATGGAATGGCAAAGGAGTAGTAAGGAGTGCCCTCCAGTGGAGCTCATGGGCACTCCAGCTGGTGATCGTGACAAGAAGGTATCTAAGGTATCTAGGTTTCAATTGCGGAAAGATGTCAATATACACCATTTTTCAAGTTCAAGTCCACTGACGTTAATCTACTCTCCTGTCTGGTTTGTTTGTTAGACAAAAATTGCAGATTCAGCATTATGATTGGTTTAGATCAATCAAAGTCCCTATGAAGGGACAGTTGAGCCATGCTGAATGTGAGTTTGCTAAAACAGTGTAAAAATAGCTGTTTGGCTACTGGTCGACATTATCCAATAGCCTGTGTGGTCCAAGTGATGTCAGCAGAAAAGTAAAGTTGTTTTAGAGGCAGATCAAGTTACTGTTACTAAATATTTGGTAACACTTTATTTTAAGGACCAATTCTCACTATTAACTAGCTGTGTACTAGTATGCATATTACTAGCATATTGGCTGTTTATTAGGACTTATAAGGACTTATTAATGCCTTATTCTGCATGACCATATTTTAGATCTCTTAATCCTACCCCTAAACCTAAACTTAAACTTAACAACTACCTTACTAACTATTAATAAGCAGCAAAGTAGGAATTTATTGAGGGGAAACTCTTAATTAATAGTGATTATGTGTTCCCTATTCTAAAGTGTTACCAAATATTTTGATTAAAGATTATGAAAATACCATTTTTTATAGTAGCATACAACGAGTCAATCACAATAAGATGGTGAACATGCGTTAAGAAAGTAAATAGAGTCCATTTTGATTTAATCTGGTCTGTATAAAAGAAATTTTCTAAAAAGAAAATTCTCAATGGGCTGAGATTTGCCTCCATCTGTGATAATCTGTTTGAAAGTATTTTTGTTTTTTTAGTTCACTCCCACTTCAAATTGAGTTCAAATTGGCAACATTTTTGTACCATTTCAGGATTTCTCATCAAACATCTGCAATTAAAATACCTGTGTCATGCAATGATTCAAGACTGACTTTATGAAAAGCTCACTCTAACTATATACCCAAACAAAGATTATTTGACATTATGGCTGACAAAATTTAAATGGACCTGCTGCACAGCAACTCTACTTACAGTAAAGGTCCCTTATAATATAATATATAATCCCTACTATAAACAGTGTAGGTAAATGTGAAGGCAGCCGAATGAATGTGGCGCTGTCCTCTGGCACATGGCGTTCCTGTAAAACCCACACAGAGTTCAGTCTTGTTGCTTCGCTCACAACCCGGCTGCCCATTCCAGCACACCCACACACATCCATTTGCGCAGCTCTGATTTTTTCATGCACTCTCAATAGCCGTGATTATATGTTATGCAGACATTTTGTATAACGTAAAAATTAGACGTAAAGAGAGTCGGTGTGGCGTGTGTGTGTCCCCAAAGGCTTATGCTTCTGTTACATACATTGAAATGTGTCTCCAGAATATCTAGTTCTTGGAAATAAAAAGCTCTGATCCTGTTTGGCGCAATATATGAGTTAGGGAACTATAGACATGATTATCTGTGGCTTTTCATTCCCATCTGTCCTTTAGCATGGTACACTACCTCAAATGTGTTCAGTGTGAAAACGATCTGAAAATCTAACAAGGCTGTCTGTCTCTCATTACAGGAAGTCCTTCCCATCTCAGCACGCCACTCTGGCAGCTTTTGCGGCTGTGTACATCTCCGTAAGTAATCCACTTGACTCATGGCACAGTTGACTCAAGCGATATCTAACTGCATGCCAAATAATCCAACTGTCCTTTCCACTATAAAGCATTTTCATTCAACTTCAGTCAAAAGGCTGGTCTCCTTCCACAGATGTACTTTAATGCCACTCTGACTGACTCATCTAAGCTCCTGAAGCCACTCCTGGTGTTTTCCTTCATCATCTGTGGCATTATCTGTGGCCTGACTCGCATCATTCAGTTCAAGAACCATGCCGTGGATGTCTACTGTGGCTTTCTCATAGGAGGGGGCATAGCCGTCTACCTGGTGAGTCTTGTTGTTGAGGCTTTCAAAGGCACTGTGTGGATAATAATTAATTTTACATATTCCCATGACAAATCCATATTACTCTATGAAACCTGACTCTGGAAAAGAATCATAGAGAATTAGCGAGGTGCTATAAGACAATGCTGTTTTAATGGAGATAAAAATAGCTTGCACATGCAAATCCCTTGTGGCTTCTTTTCTGCTCTCCACCCACACACACCCCTCACATTCCTCCCACCATTTCTTTCTTTCGCTCTCACTAATTCTCCTTCTTCCCTGCTCAATCTGCTCTTGAGGGCTATGTACACCCTGTGATTTCTAACATCAAAAACAATGCCAAAACTCCTTACATCAGGTCCCGATTTTATTGATTGCTTAGCATAGTGTACGCTAATCAGGTCAAGCAAATTACTATGTAATGCTGTTTGATACTCTGGCTGTGAGTAATATGAGGAAAGCTCTCAAAAGTTAATGTAGGCTTATGATGGACTTTAGTCAATGTAGGCACCATATGTATTATTTTTTGGAGAATGAAAACAAGTCTGTCGATCATTCAACTAATGTTAATGTTGAAAATATATCTTGGCAAAGCAATTACTGGTGACAAAACAAACATGTAAAAATTTGAAAATGTGTTGTGAAACATTACAGGACCTTGAGACAACAATGCTGAAAAAAAAAATCTTCTGGTCAGACTGGTGTGTTGACTGGTTCTAGGGGGGTTTGGGTACTTCACAGATGGTGATGGAGAGACTTTCTGGCTACCCAACTAAAGCTAAGACTGGACTCAACACTCTTAAAGACTGTTTCCATTGACTGGAGAAGATTCTTGCCTTTGACAGTCAGAAATAAGCATAAACCTAATGACTGAGTCAGTCCACAACACAAACCAGCTAAAGACTAGCTTGGCCAGGCTGGGAGACCATATAACAATTTGAATATAATATACAAGTGTCTCTCAAATACTTATTTTCATTTGCAAAAAAATAAATGTCACTATCATGACTAAGATCTATATGGCATCTATTGATTGATGTTGCTGTTTATATTCTGCATTTTTGCACTACCCTAGGGTCTGTATGCAGTTGGAAACTTTAAACCTAGTGAAGACACATCTCTAAAGACACATGTACATCCTCCTCTCCGGCAACCACAGCCACCACAACCTCCACCACAACCATCACCACCACCAACAGAGTATCACCACCATCCGAGTCACACCGGTGGAAGCCAGCAGTGAAGCCACCTCAGAAACTCTCTCCACCACCTCCAGTCGAGACTCCACACTACGCAGGAAAGGCAACATCATCCTGCTGCCCGACAGAGGATCTAGTCCTGATAATGCCAGGAACCTGCCTCACTTTTTCAAACTCTCCCCTACACCCCCCCCCATTTTGACTTTCAAGGAGTGAAAGAACCCTCTTTTCTTACCAATCCTCTAAGAGTTGCCTTGCTCTCTGAACTCTGAAGACTGGAGGCTCTGTTAGGGGACTGCATAGAGCCAGAGATTCTGGACACATGTACATTCCCTGACCGTTAGACACAACTGCACTCTCCAGAACACGTAAGGCAACATTGTGCATTTTCAATCTGCATTCTATAGGCCTCGTTACTATAACATAAGCACAAAATATTAAATTTGAGCCTGTTTGGTAAAGGTGATTGTTTGATTTGCCTATCTCATTCGGATTAGCTTTGTTATCGAATCCATTGTCTTATCGGAATTGTCTGTTGTCTCATGGCAACGTGGGTGCTTTTAAAAACTTTGCAAATTTATATATATTTTCTCAATATAAATATTTGTATGTATACTGGACCATTCAATCACATCTTTTCATGCTTAAGGAGAAAAATGGTTTTCACTATGTTGCTTTTAAATATTTTAGCTGGGCTTTCAATCAGACTCATAGCTTTTAGACAAATAGGAGAATGTTATTGTGACGTTTACAGAGGATTTTAGCAACAATGTATTAACCAAATGGATGTTTTGTTTAGGGGGCTTGTTTAACCATATGCACTGTGTGTTTTAGTGACCATGAATGAGCAATTTTCATTCAAACAGCTGAAAGCGCTCTTTGCTGGCATAGAGACAATACATTTATAGAGACTCAGCCTTTGGCATTGTAATGCAGAGAACAATACATTCTTCAGACATTAATGTCATATTGCCTTTGTGTAATATAAAACTTTTATTTGGTTCCTTAGGCCAATGAGCACTATTTCACTCATATATATTGATTTGCAAGCCCCCGTATTTTGTAGTGTGCTTTGAGCACAGGTATAATTGTATTTTTTTTGGCCCATTGCTGTAAGTTTACAGTGATGTATTGTGCATCATTTTCTTAGTTGTCCCCCCATTTTGCCTGGCAGGATGGGGTTATATAGCTACTGAGGTGCGTTGTCCTCTTTATTTTTAAGAGTGTGGGCATAAACAAATGACTCATACTTCACTGCACATTGCAGAGAAGCATACACAATATGAGAGCAATAGGAAGCCCCCAAAGGTACTATGGGAATTCATTGCTTATTTTTGTAAACATCTAAAAAATACTAATAATCATATTCATAGAGTGCCTCAAAAAGTATTATATGCCTATTAGCTAGTGATAACTTAGCCCCATCTTGCAGTAACTGTACAAAAATGTTGCTGCTGTAATGATTACGGTGCAGAATTGACAGATGTTCAGTTTGCTTTTTGTGACTTTGCTTTAAATATCCACTGTCTGTGCCATCAAATGGCACTGAAGAATAGGCACAGTCACTGCATAATAGTGGTGGGTGGTATGACCAGACATTTATATCACGGTATTTTTCAAAATTATACCGGTTTCACGGTATATGACGGTATTTATTTATTTTTTTCCATGCATGACTGTGTGTAAACCACATTTTCTATTGATTGAGAGAGGAAATAGGCTACTGCAGTAGATTGACTTAGAATGCCCTATTTTACTGTCATGATGAGTGAATATTGTAGAAAAATTCCACTCTAAATAGTGACGAAACACGACCCATTTATACATGTTAACCAGGAGTCACTCTCATTTATAATCGCGACATCGTCTGATAAAATCAACATGAATGCACAGTAGATGCATGTTGAGCGGCAATGCGGTGGTTTTGGCTATATAACTTTTTTGTCTCATGCAGCGCACTGCCTGCGTCTGAGTAACAAAAAAAATTTTGCATTATATTAATAGACGAACTATGCTCATATTTATAATTCCAAACAGTCAGTAAGCGACAGGTGCTTGGAAACGCTGTTTTGTACTCATTTATTGACGAGTCGGCTGTGGTACGGCCAGCTGAAAGCGATGCTTCTCTGCCGCTCACTGCACAGAACAGACGCCGAGAGAGACGACTGCGCCGGGAAAGTCAGACCTCGCGCTCGCGGGGCAGCACTGGCGACATCTTCCAACTGAATCATAGCTAAGGTTTATCCAAAAAAGTAGCTAGGTTTGTCAGTATATATATTCTATGGGAAAAAGCCGCTAAAAGCGTCTGAAAGTTGCGAAATCTAGCGCTGAAGTCGCGCTCGTGTGTGTATGTGTGTGTGAGATGCAGGAGCTGATGGCAGGGGGCAGTGGATATTTGTGGCGGTCAATGTGGATATTGTGGACGAGTTCTGTGTCATCGCGTTCTATTAGTTCTACAGCTTCAGTTTCGGAACTTTCACGCTTAGTAACACATACAAATGTGTCCTCGCCACAGTGCAACAGTGAAGAGAGACCCTCCCTCAAACGCGTTCCGAACATTATTTAAACGAAACCGGTATTAAGGTATTTTAAAAATTCATATCATAAGAAAAATAAACACCGGTATTCGGTATGAACCGGTATACCGCCCAGCACTACTGCATAATGACAAGTGCTGCATAAACTAAGACGTTTTAATAAAATACACAAGTAGACTGTTAGGATTCGTCCTGTGTGGCGTGTATATTTCTAAACAGTTCTAAACTGTGTATTTGTATTTCTAGCTCGTTGTTTACATACTTGTTAGGACCATATTGTAATGTATACATAAATATTGCCAAATAAGATTGTATGTTGAACAAGGTGTCAGATACATGTAGTTAATTCATGTACAGTGTCATTTATATGATGTTGGTTTTTTTTTTATTTTTTTATTGAACTTAGATTTCATTGATATATATATACATATTTAGATGTGTCGGTTTTAAAAGAGTGACTTCGAACCAACACATTTTAAAGTTTTATATATGCTTGTACAGTATAATTGTACCCCACATTATGGCTTTAACCTGTCCTTACATATGCATGGTGACTTAATACTGTATGTACTGTAACTAAAGGATTTGTTTTGTTTTGCTTTTCTGTAAATGATGCCTTTAATAGTGATGGCTGGTCCCTTGGTTTATACTCTGTTTCATTCTGCAGAATCAACCGAATAATCATTCGATCTTTTTACCCCGTAAATAGATATTTGTAAGTTTCCCAGCAAACTGTTGAAATGTAAGAGAGATCAGTGGGTTATTATTTGAGTGTCATAGAGACACTTGCTTTATTAGTGCTCTATGGCTTTTCGGTTGAACCTGTTGACAGATATTTGGAAGTTTCGCCTTGTGGGGTTTTGTTTAGCGATGTATTTTGACTGAGGATGATATGTCTTAATATATATTGAAATAAATGTTTGGTATCACAGCCAAAATAAGCATTTTTTATTTCCACAGTCCCCTGCATGGTGTCATAAATTATCAAAAAGTATATAATCACATTTTTATGTACCTTTTTGTGAAGTGCTCTGTTTCTTTCCCTATTTATAGCAAAACAGTTCTTCTATATGTGACGATGCATATGCCCACAGACCACCACAGTCTGTTCACTAACCATATGATGCTCATTGCACAAAAAAATAAGCATTTTCTCGATCTAGTTCAAATATGATTTGCTTGGCAATTTCTGTAAGGACCAGATGATTTTTTATCGGTCCTTAAAAGAAAGTTGTGTTGGGATGGTTACTTTGGAAATGTAATAGGTTACAGATTACAAGTTACCCTATTTAAAATGTAAGTAGTGTAACTATTTCAATTACTTTATTAAAGTAATGTAACTGATTACATTTGATTACTTTTTGATTACTTTCTACATTTCTAATGAATGTTTTCAACTGGTAATCATTTTGAAACATGTAAAGCAGGCAGGTTTATAACCTTACAGTAGTACTCTGATTACTGTCAGACTTTCCAAATCCTTCATCACTTGAATTAAGATGATAATAATAATTGAATTTTAAAGCACACCCACCACAAAATCAAACTTTAGCACCTCTTTTCACTTTGAGATCATTCTGAGGTTAAACACAGATTTAAAATCATAACAAGAAATAGTTTAAGGGCTATGATACTGTTTTTGAAATCAAATCTTTGCATAGCTACAGGTAACACTGGCATCTAACAGTTAATCTTAAAAAATAAAGCACAGGCCTATACACAAACCCAAATAGGAAATAAAACAGTTATTGAATAAGCATGTGTCCTATTCTGTGTCCTAAACTCCTGAAACATTGGTGTCTCATATTTTAGAGCAGTCACTGCAATTTGGGAAAGAAATCAATTAAATCTGTGTGTGTTTGTGTGTGAAAATATTCAGATGTAACCCCCTTTGTAATCTTTAAAATGTTCATATGTAACTGTAATTAAATTACGTAATTCCGTTACATGTAACTAGTTACTCCCCAACACTGGTTGTGTTACCGTTTGCAAGGTTAGCAAAATAAAGTATTTTTCGTTTCATTTCATTTCAATCATTTTCAGATTATTTTTCTGTAAACTCATAGAGCCATGTCATCATTTAATTTTTTTTCGTGCTAGCCTATTGTTTTGGTATATTATAGCTCAATATATAATGTAATCTTCCCCCAAAAGGCACATATGTACAAAGCTGTGAGTGATTGCTTTACATGTCAGTTTCTTCCTGTTTAAGTGAGCGGTTCTTGGCCAGAATTATCTACAGAACAAAAATTTAAGTTGTGTTGGCACGTACTAAACTCTTCTTCCATGATGCCAGGATGTTCGGCATGGTTGCCAGATCTTTCTTGCTATGCGGTTTCAAATGTGGTTGTTAGCATGTTGCTAGGTTGATGCCATGGTGTTTTGGTAGTTGCTAAGTATTTACTCGCTTACTCAAGTTGAAATTATTATCAGGTTAGTTATAGTTAATTTTACCATATGATAAATTGTAATAGTGTTGCTTGTCAAAAGGTTCTGCCCTAGTTGAGATCTCTAAGCCACAGCTGTGCCAGACCCCTATTTAACCAATTAATTTCTTATACAGCTGTCTCTGCACACTGCAAATGTAAAAAGTTGGTACAGCTAGTTAAACAAAGATGTTGCATTCAGCAGCCGTTTTCAGAAACTGCACAACAGCAGAAAGTATGCTTTGTTTAGTATGTGTCCTTTAAGATTTATGGAAGCCTGTTTTCAGCAATAAAGAAATTAAAAAGGTAAGTGCAATTTCTTACCTCACAATTTAGACTTTTTTCATGCAATTTTTTCAGAATTTGCAATTTCATATATTCAGATTTCAAATGCAATTTCATATATCTTTTCTTTTTTTGCAATTCTGAGAAACTTGTGTGAGAAAAGTCTGGATTGTGACAAAAAGTTGCAATTACCATTTTTAATTGCTGTATTCAGTGGTACGATTTTATATATTCATACTTTTTTCTTGCAATTCTGAGAAAAAAATATATACGAAATTGCAAGATATAAACTCAGAATTTTCCTAATTCTGTTTATATTTCGCAATTCTGACTTTTTCTCTCAGACTTCTCAGTTTATTTCTTGCAATTGTAACCTTTTTTTCTAAATTTACATAATATGTGTAAATTTAAGTCTAAATTTACATCTCACAAATTTCATTTTTGTTTCCATCATGGTATAAAAAAGTAATTGCGACTTTTTATGTCACAACTCAGACTTTTCTTCTCAGAATTGCGAGATACAGTATGAACAGAATTGCAAGAAAACAAAGGCAGAATTGTGAGATATAAAGTCAACATTTTTTTTATTCGTTTATTCTGTGGAGCAAACAGGCTTCCATAAATATTGCATCAGTCTGTCTGTGCTAAAAAACAGCGATCTGTAGTATCCATGTCTTTGTGCAAGTGTATGTATCCAAGCCTTGTCAGTCCTTAGGGCGCATCTTAAGTAAACGTACTAACCAGCTCTAGCAAATGACCTCACATTATGCTCATAGCTAGAATCAAAGGTCTCCTTTTACTTCACAACCACTTCATCTTTATTTATATGCTCTGCCAAGCTCAGTGTTTGACTCTGTACTGTACATGTGGCATTTTGGATTAAACACATTCCTCTAGGAAGTGTTGAAAGCCACGAAAGTGGGTCTGGTTAGCATTGCTGAATCCAATCAGTGGGTCCTAAGTAGGTCAGAAAGCTGACCTAAATTGAGGAAGAGATTCTTACTCCCCTTCATTTTACACAGTATCCCCTGAAGACCAAATGCATTGTGTTGAGAGGGGAGTAGAGCGTGAACAGCTCTGTAATGTATCAGAGACCAAGACAACAAGGAGACATCTAAAAAGAATAAGGGATCAACAATGCTGCAGAAGGACGCCTGATCCATTACTTTCAGGCTTATCACTGGGCTGATGCACATCGTGTTATTGCCCTGAAGTGAAGAACCATTCCTCACTCAAAATACTGCAACATGAATACATTTTATGTCACCTGGCTAATGCAAACAACAGCACAGCATCTGTTAAAATGAAGGTGAGCAACGGTTGA